GGTGGCCACATATCCAGATCACACTCTCTAAGCTGCTAAGCTGACATGTGGCCCTCCACCTGTCTGCCACTTGAGCTGGAAGGGACAGTTTGGTGTAATTAATAATCACCCTACCACCTCAGCCACAGAAAGATGGACAAGCACAGGCCCTGCTCCCTAGCAGCTCAAACTCACAAAGATGATCAGTCAAAGGCTCCTGTCATAGGGGGAACTTAGCTGCAAGTGAGGGCTGTGGCCCCTTGTACACAGGCATGGTCCTTTTGCAGATGGGAGAAGTGGGAGCAAAGGTTTCCATGCTAACAAACACAGATGAGAATTCTAATTCCACCACTGTCTTGCTGTGTGGCCTTGAGCAAGTCACCTGCCTCTCTGAGCCTGTATCCTCATCTGCACTGTAGTGATTATGATCCATCTCTTTGAGGGGAATTGCAAAGGTTAAACGAGATAGGCTGTGGCAATCCCTAGGCCCAGGCAGTCCTCTTAAGACATTTAACTGGTGATGGTGGCCACTCCCCTCAATTCCCTCCCCCCATTTCTGTGCCTCAAGAGAGGCCTTGGCTCTCATCACCGTGTTGGAAAGAATGACAGCACTTCTCACGTTGCTGAATCTGCAGAACAACCCTAAACCATAGGCACTTTCACCTCTGCTTTACAAAGGGGAGCTTGAGGCTCAGAGAGGTGAAGTGATGTGCCTGGAGTGACTCAGCAATGTGGCCGGGGCCAGGCTCACCCTCCAGGCCAAGTGCTGGAGTAAGTTCTCTCCTCCCCCGCAGCCCACAGGGGCCCTGCCCCTGAGTTCTGTCTGTAAAAGTGCTCACTCAGCGCGTGCTGGGAGGGAATCACAGACCCCTGTGGAACCAGGAAATGACTGCCTGGCTGCCTCCCAGCCCAGACCGGATTAAAGAGCAGTAACCAGATCCTGCTGGGACGGAGGGGAAACCGAGGCGGCGGGCGTGAGTGATGAGAGATGCGCTTGCACACATAGAGGACCTGCCCTCCCTCTTCCCCACATCTGGACGGGTGTGCGGGCCTTGCTTTATTTCATTTCACTCTGCCAGAAAGATGCAGACCTCTTGGCCAGAGTTCAGAGGAGATCAGAAAGCGTGATTCAGAGCTGGGCGGGACACATGTGTGAGGGAAGATTAGCAGGGGAGGAAGAGACAAGGCCAGGGGTGACTCAGGGCACATCAAAGCTGCAGGGCTCAGCAAGACGAGATGAGGAATCTTTTCCTGGGGCCCACGGCGGCTCTGGAGGCAAGAGGGAAACTCAGCCAGCATGACAGACAATGCCTCAGACCACAGGCTGGGGTAGGAACATGGGGTTCTGAACAGGGAATGGGAGAGAAGCTGTGTGCTTGGAATGCTGGTAGCTCAGGTCTCTGTGGGTCAGCGCTGGGCAGCGGATGGAGCCGGGTGGTGATGGTGAACATGCCAGGTTCCTGTCCTGGCTTTGTCACCTACCAGCTGTGTGACCTGGGGCAAGTCACTTTCCTCTCTGGACCACGCTGAACTCATTCAGTCAACATATATTTCCTACCTACCACATGTTGGACATTGTCAGGCATTAGGGACAGAGTGGTTTAGGTTGGAATCATCAAGTGTGGCTGTGTGGTCCAGGGGTAGTTATGAGAGTATCACACAGGAGCTTCTAACCATGTCTGGGAGGGCAAGGAAGCTAACCCAAGACCAGAAGGGTGACCAGCAGAAGAGGAGGGACAGCAGGGTTCCAGGAGGAGGGAACAGCATGTGCAAAGGCCTCGTGGCTAGCAAAGGCCATGTGGGTCCTCTACGAGGACTGCAGAGGTGGAGTGGCCGGGGACGCAGTGGGGCCAGCTCCTGGAGGGCCTGATGAGCCTCTATGAACCTATGGCTTTATCTTGATGATGTCTGTGTTCTGGGGAATGGTGATCCCCGATGAAGTGGGGTTTGGGGACCAGAATGCCCAAGTTCAAGTCTCAGCTTCACATCCTGCTGGGACTATGTAATTAGATAAGCCACTTAACCACCTGTTTCCTCACCTATAAATGAAGGGTACCCTTACCTACCTTGCAGATTGTTATAATGATCAAATGCATTAATACGTATAAGGCATCTAGACTAGTGTCTGGTATACAGTAAGCACTCAACAAGTACTGGTGATTACTGTTGTTGGGATACTGCATGTCATGCTATCAGCAGACTGCCTGGCACCTCGAAGAGTTAGTTCTCTCCTCTGAAACTTCCTGCCCCTGCATCCTTTCCATCCTGGCTTCAGCCCTGCATCCTTTCCCCTGGCCCTCCCCAGCCCTGGCCTCCCTGGAGGGCTGTGGCGGGAAGGGGCCTAGTGGGTGACAAACAGAGGCTAAGGCCAGGGGAGCCAGAGTACAGCTGTTCCCTGGGAGGTCCCTCCCCACCTCTTCCACGTGCTGAGGTTGACCCAGGACCCCCAGCAACTGGATCAGAATAGGGAGAGGGGTGGGGAAAAGGTCCCCACAGCAGGCATAGAGGGCAGGAGGCTATTTCACAGGCTCACAGTTTGCAGAACACTTCTGCCAGGGGGAGAGGATCCACCCATCACCTGTGAACCCCCTGGAACTTGAGTCATTATTTCTGTGTTATAGATAAGGAAACTGAGGTGCAAAGAGAGGGAGCCATTTCCCCCAAACTACATAGAAGCTGGTGGCCAGGGTGGGACTCCCAACCCAGGATGGAGAGGTACACAGGGACTAGACATGGAGGATCTTGACAGCCCTGCCAAGACTCTTGCTGCCCACTCCAGCAACCCCCACCCACCACCCTCTCCCACCGCTGGCCCGCTTCACAACCAGCTATCACAACCCACTCAGCATCCCTCACATTCACTAGGCCCACTCTCTCAAGCCTCAAGCTTTAACACATTATTCTCCCATTGCTTGTCCAGAGCAACCACACCCAAACTGGACAATGCTAGGAAGTCAAAACCTCGTCCAGGAAGCCTTCCTTGATCTTTACACATCTAATCCTAGCTGGATTGGGGTCCATCTCAGCCTCCTCTGCCTTCCTGATGACCACTTTCCCAGTGGGTTGTCTTCATCTTTTATCTGCAGCACTGAGAGCTCCCTGAGGGCAGGAACAGGAACTGACTCATCTGTCGCCCTTGCCTGGCACAGGTGGAGTTTATTTCCCCACCTCTTGAATCTGGGCTGGCCTTTAGACTTGCTTTCACTAATAGAATATGTTGGAAATAGCAATGTGCCTGATCCCAGCTTAGACCCCAAGAGGCTTCAGTCCTTCTGCCTTCTCTCTCAGAACTCTGTCATACCACGTAAACAATACCAACTCACCTGCAGGGGGGAGGGCAGTGAGATACCATGTAGACCAGAACTGAGTTGTCTCAGGCCAAGGTTCCAGAGGTGTGAGAGAACCCAGCCAAGATTAGCAGAGCTTCCTCTTACCCACAACTGACCGCAGATGTATGAGTAAGCCCCACTGAGTCCAGAGAACTTTCCAGCTGGACAGGCTTGTGAGCAACAATACATGCTTATTGTTTTACACCACTGGGTTTCAGGCTTATTTGTTACACAGCAATAGCTTACTGATAAAAATGCATAAATAAATGACTAGAAGTAAATGTATGACGCAAACACAGCAGTAGAAGAGAGACAGAATGCCTGCCTCCTGCTTCTCTCACCTTGTACACATCATGGCTGCCCAGAACAGCATCAAACAGTGTGTAGAGGTCATTGAGCAAGCCCACCACCTCGATGGGCTCACTCAGGGTGGAGATGGTGGTAAAACCCACAATGTCACTGAAGTAGATGGTAACCTGGTCAAAGTACTCTGGCTCCACAGTCACCCCCATTTTCAGAGCTTCATCCACGGACCTGAAGAGATGGGAAGGGCCAGAGTCACAAGGTGGGAGGACCCCTTTCCATGGTTGGGAGTGAGGGAGGAATATTTGGGGGGAAATCCTAGGTTGAGTGTCAGGGATCTGGGACAGGTCTGCTGGTGTGCTGACTCCCCTCCAGCAAATACCTGCCCCTCTCCAGTCATTACTTCCTCTGAAGTCAGACGGGGGAAACTGTGCTCTCTCCTTGTTCCCAAGGAAGTGAGGGAGCAGAAATTCAATACTCACATGCCTAGCACTGTGCCTAATACATACAAGGGCTCTATGAAAATATGTTGGACAAATAAACAATGAATGAATTGAACGAACTCATGGAACCCAGATTTACTGAGCACCTACTACGTCCCAGGTCCCATGCTCAGAGCCACTGAGGCTAGAGACACAATCAAGTCCACTCATGGAGGAAGTATCTGAGAGAGCAGCCTTTCAGTTTTCTGTCTCTCCAGCTCCAGTTCCTCAGTCTGCTCCTGTATAAAGTCCTCCAGGTTCTGGGAATACTTCCCCAGCATCCTAAGTATAGAGTCAGCAACACGGGTTTTCTTGCCTTGGTTGATGCTTTTGAACTGAAAATGGAATGAAAAGCCCAATTCACCCATGAAGGTTAGCACATTCGGTCCTCAGGTTGAGAATCTGGGCCACAGGAATGAACCTGACGTAGTGCCTGCCTGGAAGGGCTGATTGGTGGGAAGCAGATATGTAATAGACAAGGGATGGCAGTTCTGACAAGGGGAAGCACAGATGGCTGGGAGGAAAATAGGTTGGTTCTCTATGAGGCGGACAGGCAGGGAGAGGACTTTACAAAGGAATCCATGCCCAGCACTGTATCACCATTAACAAACACACTGGGTCTCACAAAACACTGTGGAATAGGCATTCTTTGTTCTTAAAGATAAGTGGATGGATGGATTGATGGATGGATAAATAGATGGGTAGATAGATAGAAGGAATATGTGTAAATTATTTGTATATATAATCTATACCTTTTTTCCCTTCTCCTTTTTCACAAAATTTTTCTTTACAAAATAAAATAATAAATATGTAAGGGCATTGGGACCAACAGAAAGTGAAGGTTAAAACAAAGTTAATCTACAGCATGGTACTAGCACAAAAACAGACATATGGATCAATGGAACAGAATTGAGAGCCCAGAAATAAACCCACAGACTTACAGTCAATTAATCTTTGACAAAGGAGGCAAGAACATACAATGGAGAAAAGACGGTCCCTTCAGCAAGGGGTGTTGGGAAAACAGCCACATGTAAACCAATGAAGTTAGAACACTCCCTCACGCCATACACAAAAACAAACTCAAAATGGCTTAAAGACTTAAATGTAAGACAAGACACTACAAAACTCTTAGAAGAAAACATAGGCAAAACATTATCTGACATAAATCTCAGCAATGTTCTGCTACAGCAGTCTATCCAGGCCACAGAAATAAAGCAAAAATAAACAAAGGGGACCTAATTAAATTTATAAGATTTTGCACAGCAAAGGAAATCATAAGCAAAACAAAAAGACAACCTGTGGAATAGGAGGAAATATTTGCAAATAATGGGACTGATGGGGGCTTAATTTCCAGGATATATAAACAGTTAATACAACTTAATAACAAAAAACAAACAACCCAATCCAAAAATGGGCAGAAGACCTAAAAAAGCAATTCTCCAGTGAAGACATACAAATGGTCAATAGGCACATGAAAAAATGTTCAATATCACTAATTATCAGAGAAATGCAAATCAAAATTACAATGAGGTATCACCTCACACCAGTCAGAATGACCATCATTAAAAAGTCCACAAACAATAAATGCTGGGGAAGCTGTGGAGAAAAGGGAACCCTCCTACTCTGTTGGTGGGAATGTAGTTTGGTGCAGGCATTATGGAAAACAGTATGGAGATTCCTCAAGAAACTAAAAATAGACTTACCATATGATCCAGCAATCTCACTCCTGGGCATATATCCAGAGGAAACTCTAATTCAAAAAGATACATGCACCCCAATGTGCATAGCAGCACTATTTACAATAGTCAAGACACAGAAACAACCAAAAAGTCCATCGACAGATGACTGGGTAAAGAAGTTGTGGTATATTTATACAATGGAACACTATTCAGCCATAAAAATTAATAAAATAATGCCATTTGCAGCAACATGGACGGACGTGGAAATTGTAATTCTAAGTGAAGGTAGCCAGAAAGAGAAAGAAAAATATCATAAGATATCACTCATGTGGAATCTTTAAAAAAAAAAAGACACTTATTTGAACCTACTTATAAAACAGAAACAGACTCACAGACATAGAAAACAAACTATGGTTACCAGGGGGGAAAAGGGGTGGGAAGGGATAAATTGGGAGTTTGAGATTTGCAGATACTAACTGCTATATATAAAACAGATAAACAACAAGTTTCTTCTGTATAGCACAGGGAACTATATTCAGTATCTTGTAGTAACATATAATGAAAAAGGATATGAAAACAAATGTATGTACATGTATGAATCACTGTGCTGTATACCAGAAATTGACACAACATTGTAAAGTGACTATACTTCAATAAAAAAATGACAGAAAAAAAGTTAATCTAGGAGGGAGGTATATATGCAAAATGATGCTAGAATTGGTCATAATTTTGGATATGAGCTTCCTAGCAACAAAGCAAATACAGATTTGCAACAAAGCAACAAAGGGAAATACAGATTACACAATCCATGGAGTCCATGAGACAAGGGCGCATTAAACTAGTTGCTCAAAAGAACCATAACTATTGTTGATGCTGAACAGACAGAAGTACCTCTCTTAGGTCTTTATAAGAGGACATTCACGTGTTGTCATAAACAGTACCTTCAACAACAACCTTACAGGAAATATGGAAGTGCATTTCCTCGGGGAGGCTTACTAGAATCTTCCCCAGTGTGGTTTGTATCTTCCCAAAGTGGAGTCAGTAAGAGAAGCAAATTAATTATGATCAAAGAGGAGGAGTTTATTTTTGTTTAACTTGAGCACCTTGACGTCTGTGTGTATGCATGTGTGTAGATGTACATATCCGACCTCCATTAATGCTGCTTCTCTCAAGTAAATGTCTATAAGGTGGGGAGGGCAGCAGCTTCCTTCTCAGCATTCATTTTCTTATTTAATTGCTTTGGCTGGTACTCCCAGAACAATGCTATTTGAACATGACCCAAGTCTTTTGACTCCTGCATGTGGAATATATCATGTGTCTGTCTCTGCCTTTTCCGCCCCTGAGCCTTAGGGAGGCTCTTTTCCCACAGTCACCACTCACTCAAGGCAAGAGCTTTCTCCCCCTCCTCACTGGCCACAGCAATCTCTGATCCCTGGAAAGATTTCAGGCCGGTGTTTTAAGAACTGGTTGCTCATCCTAACACTGCAACCCACCCTCACAGTGGCCACGAGAGCTCATCTACTCTGAGGTCCAGATTTCCCATCTGTGATGTAGGACCCTGCATCCCCCTGACGACGCCCGAGCTGAGGTGGGGAAAAGATGTGGGGAGGAGGGTGGTGGGAAGGCTCTTCAGAGGACACCAGTGTGTTTCTCCTGTCTTCCTGCCTCTCGCTCCCTCATCACCTGTCTGGACGCCTCTCTCGCTCACTGAACCCCTCCTTGGCAACGTTCCTCTGTGGCTGGGGAGTGGAGGGCAGGAATGGGGGGGGGGCACGAAGATGTCACTTCAAGCTTGATGGGCTGGCCCTGTAGGAGCCATTAGCCAGCTCAGTCAGGCTCACACACTCCGTCACCGCCAGCCAACTTGCCTCAATTTCTCTCTTGTAAAACCCAGATCATAGCAATGCTTCCTCGGAGGGCTGGCATGAGGATTAAATGAAGTAAGCATGGCACTTAGCACAGAGCTTGGCCCTCAGGAAGGCACTCATAAATGTCTCTGGAACCAGGGTTCTGAGAGAGCTTTTCTCAGGTGTCCCTCAGGCCCCACCTGCAGTGGTGAGGATGCTGGCCCGTTGCCCCCTTTCTGCACAGGGTTTCCAGGCCCTGGGGATAGTGTGGGACCCCACACTGGGCAAAGTGAAGTGAACTGATCAGCTGTTTCTTGTGAGCAGCCAGCTCCTCTGGGGGCACTGACCTGGGTGTAGATCTGGTCCAGGTTGGGTCTGTCCTCTGGATCCTCCTCCCAGCACTGCTCCATCAGCTGGATGCACTCAGGTGGCCCGTGGTCAGGAGACACCAGTGGCCATCACAGGGAAGGGGAAGAGACCACCTTCCTGATGATTTCTGCAACAAGCACACAGTGGGCAGTGGGGCTGAGGTCCCCAGGAGAGCTGGTGGCAGGGGGCTGCCCTGGCATGCAGGGAGGGAGGGCAGGGTGGGCCTGTGGGGGTGTGGAGCTCAGGCCTGTGGGTGTTCCATGGCCCCTAGCTCTGTGCCCCAGGGCGTGCTGGCCAGCAGACCTAGCATTGCTGCTTTCCTGAGTCCACCCAAGCATAGCTGAGGAGAGGGTCTCCACCTGGGAGCCAGGAGAGCAGGGCTCCAATTCTGGATCCACTACCACCTCTCTATGAGATGGTGGACAAGACAGTGACCTCAGAGTCTCTGTCTCTGCATCTGTGAAATGAGCTTAAAAATCTGCCTTCTTGAGAGCGCTGCTGAGAGAAAAGACAGAGGATGTCAGGTGCCCGGCCCCTGGTAGGTTCTCTCCGACCCCTGAGCCCTGCACAACTTGCTCCTACTTTATTGCCAGTGATCCCACGAATGTGCTTAAGACCTGGGCACTGTGGCTCTTTCTAGCAGCCCTGCTGGTGCCAACTTTCCACAGGTGTGAAGCAACACTCTGCTTATTATTATCACCATCGCGGTGACTGTTTGCCCCGGACAACCCCTGACATGCATCCTTTTGTCCCCGCTCCACATGATAAGGACACAGATTAAGTAGAGATCAGATAGGTCAGGCTTCCAGCTCTGTCTCTGCCACTCGCCGTCACTCCATGGCCTCAGTTTCCCCACCTAACAACTGATAGAAATAACCCCCTGTTCTCAGGAGCTGTAGGGGAGCCTGGTAGGGGAGCTGATTCACGGGCGCGCCGGGAGGAGGAGGGGCTGGGTACCGAGCACAGGCTCTCAGCAGCACAGGAGGGGACTTCAAGATTACCCGTTTACATTCTCTACAAGTTGTGCCACCTCTCAGAGCCTCAGTTTCCTCACCTATCAAAAAGGCAAAATAATCGTGCACACCTCACAGGGCTGTTAGAGGTAGAGCAGGTTAATCTCTGAAGGGGGCTGGGATCCTCCTCCGAAGCGGTGAGGAGGTGGGAGCCCTCAGAGCCAGTGAAAAGGAGCTTCTTTCTGCATCTCCCTTTGCTGACCTCCTTGTTGGGGATAGTGCGTGAGTCCTTGTCCCATTCTGCAGACAGGGAGACTGAGGTTTCTGGAGGTGAAGTAGGTCACCCACAGCCACAGGGCTGGTAATAAGCAGATGCTAAAACTAGACCTGACCATCTCCCAGCCTGCATGATTTTCTTTCTGCCCAGAGGTCCCCAGTCTGTAGGTGTCAGACTTGAGGGCCTCTGAGTAAAGGGTCTGGGAAGCTGTATGTGCTTACAAAGGAGTGTGTGCAGGTGGAACCAATAACACATCTTGCATGCACACATTCAACTCTTTTTCAAAAGGACTCAGATGGTGGTGTGATGAATAAAATACAAATCCATTTCAAAGTGTTGCTGATTTCAGGGCAGATTTTTGTCTTTGGGCATCTTCTTGGTTAGCGGATGTGAAAAGTCAACTAGTAACATGTGAGGCTCCAAATTTTTTGACACTAAGGTGGAGACCACCCAGGCAAGCATGTTGGGAACCCCTGGCCCAGACCAGGCCAGGTTTCATGTTCCCTCCCCGTGCTGGGCCCACTGTCCACACCCAATGCATTTCCAGGATGGGTCGACCCTTTTGGCCACTGAGGTGGGAGGCTGCAGAGAAGATGCTTGGTGGATGACTCCAGGAGATTTCAGGGCAAGAGCCCTGAGCTTGCCCAAATTCCAGGCCTCTGCTTCCCCAAGGGGAGTTCCTTCCCCTCTCTGAGCCTCACTTCACTCATCTCTGAAAAGAGTGTACATACTCACCCCCCAGTGTTGTCCAGTGGAATAGTACACATGAAAATGCTTTGGAAACCGCAAGTGCTCCCCGCACACAGGATCTTAAAAAGATGCAATTTCTAAGAGCAAGAGGGATTTGTTTCCAAGTGGGAGAGTCAGGAGAGAACCTGGGATTCCCCATTAGCACACCCCTAAAACCATTCAGGCTGATATTTACTGAGTGCTTGCCATGTGCCAGGTACTTTGTCTAAATCATTTCACAGCATCCTCACAAATACTCTGGGAGGCAAGAGTCATCATCTTCATCTTACAAGTGAGGAAACTGAGGCTCAGAGGCTGAAAGAGAATTACTCAGAGTCATGAGGTGAATTGGTGTGGAGCTGGGCTTAGGTCAGTGTCCCTCAAAGGCAGTGCTCTTGACGTTTTGCTCCCTGAGGCGAGGAAAAGTACAGCCAAGAAGTGTCAGGTTCAGGACTGACGGCCCAATCTAGGGGCGGCCCTGGGATTCCAGGCCTGGTCCCTGTGCCTAAAGCCTGAGGGGCCCTGTCCTGAAGGGTCCTGCACAGTGGCATGGCTTGCAGACCCCATCTGGCTGATCCTCCCACTCTCAGCAGGCAGGTGTCGGGGCGGGGCAGGGGGACAGATGAAGAGCGCTGAACAAATGGCCTGACCAAGCCCCTCCCTCTTCCCACTCTTCCACCTCATAAATCTGGGGCCTGGAATGCTGATTATTCGCTGAGCAGTGTTTTGGTGGAGGAAGCAAGCAGGGCCAGGCCTCCCTGTGAGTTAAAGATTATCCATCCAGGGTGGGAGGGGTGGTGGGCACCCTTCCATCACTACCTGCACTGGGGGTCAAGATGCAGGGTATCTGTGGGACAGGTCCCTGGAACTGGATGGAGGCAGCAAGGGGACAACTGGACAAGCAGCCTAGGGTCCAGGGAGCCCTTCCAGAGAACACAGAAGGGTAGGAAATGTTTCTGAAGTTGGGCCCTGGCACTGGAGTCAGAAGAGAAAATGTCTAAGACCAGGTGGTGATGGGGAAAGTGTGAGTGATTACACACAAAACACAGGGACAAAGATGCTCTTAAAGGAGCCCCACTCAGACAGAGAACCAAGCCTTCAAATGCTGAGCAGACTGGCCACATTACACGTGGACTGGATGTCTGACACATTTCTCTATTTCATCTGCACCATAAAGATGAGAAAACTGAGGCTCAGAGAGGGTGAGTGAAGTGTGTAAGGTCATGTGGTAAGTGTGTGTTACAGGGGAAGAACTGAGGTCTGCAAAGACACAAGTCTGCTGGGCAGTGGGGGTGGTTAGGGCGTGAGCACTTCCAGACGTGGCAATGACTGAGAAAGGAAGGAAGGGACTGAGGCTTTCACCCAGAAACCCACGTCTTTAGCCCTGGTGCTGGTCAGAGTAGCCGAAGGCTGCATGGTTTAAGCCAAAGAAACCTAATTCTCGTGGTCAAACCAAGCTTGTGCATCTGTATGGTTAATTTCAGGCCCCAATTTCCTGATGGTCACAGAGCTCTGCCACTACGTGGTGACTCTAGCCAGAGACAGGCCAAGGAAGGAGGAGGAGGATGCTGTACCTTCCGCTGAGAGCCCTGAGGAGCCATAGGGTGGGCCCCGAGTCAGCACCTCCTGCAGGATGACGCCAATACTGAAGATGTCCCCTTTGAGTGTGCCCCGCCCGGGTGCCCCAGCTCCCCGCAACAGCTCTGGAGCCATCCACAGCAACTCTGCAATCACAGGCCAGGGCCACACCACCGTCACCCACTGACCACCCAGGCTGGCCAGGCTGGGCGGGCACTTCACACCTATGATGTCATCACCCTGCCCCCACAGACCCAGAAGAGGGAGGTGCTTCTGCTCTCCCCTATTCACAGGTAAGGGTCCTGAGGCTCACAGAAGAAAAGCCATCAACTCAAGATCACATCACAGGAAGTGACATCTCCTGGTCTTGCCCTGCCTCGCAAGCACCCAATTTAAACAGAGACCTCAGAACCTACTGGCAGCCCCCCGCCCATCTCCAAGCTGATCTTCTGGGGCTGGTCGGGGGCACGGAGCCTGCTGAGTGTCCAGGAGCTCGGCGTAACCGTAGTCAGTGAACTTTAGCACAAAGCATCCATCCAGCACACAGTTTCAGGGCTTGAGGCAGCCATGAGGGAAATGCTGGTGGTGCAGATACCACACCCCTGGAGTGGAATAACGGGGGCCCCTTAGGTCTGTGGTGAGTGAAAGGGACCCTTGCTTCTCTCAGCATTCCCACAGTCCTTAGGAAAACTTCCTGCCTCCTCTCACCCTTTGCTGTACTGTTTAGACTTTTTCTGTTAGACAAAGTGGAAAGAGCCCAGGCCTGGGCAGTCTGAGCATCTCTTGTCTCCCTGCCCTCTCCATTGCCCGCCCCACCAATGGCTCCTGGCCCAGGGAGAGTTCTCACACAGATCAAATCCAGCAGCAGGGAGGCCTTGAAGGTCCAGTCCAGCCGCAGAGTCTCATTCCACATCAGGTCTTCCAGGCTGCCCCGGGCACAGTGCTCCAACACCAGAGCACTGACCCCAGGGGCCACAAAGAAGCCCAGGAAGCTGACGATATTCTAGTGCTGCAGCTCCCACATCTGCTGGGGCAGTGGGCACCTTAGCAGCCTCAAGGCTGGACCAGGTACAATCCACGTCTGAACCCCAGTACTTAGCACCCAGCACAGGGCAGAACACAGAAAGGCATCAGAAATGTTGGATGGATGTGATAAGTGGATGGATGAATGATGGGTGGATGGACTGGATGGATGGATGATGGATAAATGGATAGATGGGTGAATAGATGAGTGGATGGATGGATGAAACAGTGAGATGAATGAGTGGAAGCATCATGAATGAATAAGTGAATGAGCCATAGCCAACTTCACAGGATAGGGATCGAGGCCTATTCTCAATCTAAGTGACACCATGGACCTGAAAACTGTGTAAATTCTCTCGCCCAAGACTCAGAGATTGACGAGGAGAGGAGCAGAAGGGATCAGGCACAGGTATAAAGCAGCCAGGCAGGCCAGAGAGCTTGAACCCAAAGATGGAACCCTTGCCTGGTGTGGCTTTCCTCACAAAACCAGTTCAGGGGTCAGCTAAGTGGGAGAAACCTGAATACTCTCCCCACGGTAGAGATTCCCATGCATATTAGCATACGTGATGAGGTAAGAATGGCCTCAGATCCTTTGACACTCCTGCCATCAGGAGGTTGAGCCTCTGACCCTCCTCTTGAAACGGAGCAGGTTTTGTGACACTGTGACCAATAGAACATGGTGGAAGTGATCTTGTGTGTTTTGGGTTCAGGTCTTAGGAGACTGACAGCTTCCATTTCCCATTTCTTGGAGCCTTCTCTGTCAGAGGCCTGAATGGTCATCAGAAGCCCCTCTACGCTGAGTCACCACACTGGAGAGACCGTGTGGAGAGGCTCTGAGACTACACGGAGTAGGATGGCAAGCCCTGCTGAGCTGGCTCTTCCAACTGCCCAGCCAAGTCACCAAGCATGCAACCCACTGAGGCGCTCTGGATGGGGGGTCAGCAAACCTGTCGGTACCAAGTCCAGGTAGTAAATATTTTAGGCTTTGTAGGCCTTGTAGTCTCTGTCACCAATAATCGCTTCTGCCATTGCAGTGTGAAAGCAGTCACAGACAGTACACAAACCAATACAACTCTGATCTGCAAAAACAGGCAGTGGGCCTGACTTGACCTGAGGGCCAACCTCAGACAACTCATTTACAAGCTTCAAACCACTGAGTGACCCCCCAACCACGGCCAAGTGGAACTGAAGAACTGCTTGGCTGAGCCCTCCCAAATTTCCTACCCACAAAATTGTAAGATATTATAAAATGATTATTGTTTTAAGCCACTACATTTTGGGATAAGTTGTTACACAGTCATAGATAACCAGAACAGCATATTAAAGGTTCTGAGAATTCCTATGTCTAAGCCAAGCAAATTCTAAACTCATTAGACCACATATAAGACCTTTTTCTAAAGAAACATCTACACGTGCAAGATGCCCATTGAACCTCCAGTCGCTTAATCTCTCCAAATCTGATTTCAGATGGTGGTGATGTTGAAATAATAATAAAATTCACCACTTACCAAAGGCACCCTACTTGCCAAAGATAGTTCCAGGTAATTTCATATATTCTTGCTGATCTTTATAGTTCCCCTGGAGTGGATTTAATTAGCACCAATTTACAGGAAAGCTAGGTGTCCTGGGGAGGCAGGATTCCATCTGGGATCTTCCTGACTCAAATCCTATGCTCTGTCCTCCATCCCACAATGCCTCTCAGGATGGTGACAGTCTCAGGGTTGAGGGGACTTATGTAGGTAGTGATGACAAGTGATTGGAAACTCCCCGAGGGAAAGAACCCTGTCTCTCTTCTCACTGCTGTGTCCCCAGAGCTCAGAACATATTTGGTACTCAATGAATACTGGACAGAGGATGGACGAGTGGAGGGATGGAAGTTACAGGATGAGGTCCTTCAGTGGTGTTGATTATGCCGTGTGACGATAGGGGTGGAGGGTATTGTGCCCCTGGTAGGCATGGTGATGATCATATTGGGGTGGGGATGCTGGGGTGCAATGGTGGCAGTGCTGGTGTACATCTGTGATGAGATGCTGGCGATGGACAGTGATCCTGATGATAGGAAGCACCTTCTCTTTTGAAGCTAGAAGCTTCCACATTGAGTAGGGACCAATCCTGATCCGTAGGGGTCTCCTGACAGCTCCCCCTCGCAGCCCACCCTCCACGACCTCCGCAGGCCTACCTTTCTCAGGAGGCTGAGGCAGCTCGGCCGCAGCTCAGGGACTGTGCCAGCTTCAAACTTCTTCAGCCACACCCACTCTCCCTGTTTAAGAAAGGACAACAGGAGTTCACCGTTGCTGCTCCCCAGCTGTGTGACCTCGGGCAAATCCTTCAGCCTCTCTCGGCTTCAGATGTGTTCTTTCTGTGTCTTCCAAGTCGGTGAGAGCCCGGCCAGTGGACTCCTTTGGTTGACAGAACTGAGTTCCAGTCCTAACTCCACCACTTTCTAGCTCTGTGACCTCAGGCAAGTGACTGGCTCTCTGAGCCTCATGCTCTGTAAAGCGAGGATAACACCCCCATCTCCATAGGAGCTCTAATGAGAGGTGGATGCCGAGTGTGTTAGCTCCTGTCCTGAGGTCAGCTTTACTCTGCAGGCCTCGGCCACCCAAGACACCCCAAACCCAGCGACGTGAGGGCGACTCTGTGACCCCAGGACTCTAGGGGAGGAGGCAGGGGAGGGTGGCAGAGGTGGAGGCCTCAGGCTGGGATCGGTCCTCACCCAGAGCTAGCTGTAAGCTTAGCCCTCTCTCCCTTCCTCACTGATGGATTTCTGCTTCCTCAGCCCGCCCACAGCTACTTCAGAGGAGCAGACAAAACCTGCTTTGCACATCATTAAGGCCTCCTTCCAGCAGAACACAAAAAGATGGAATTCCCCAAGGGAGAAGGTGGAAAAGAGGGAGCAAGAGCCTTGTGTTGTTTCCCAGAGAAACAATTAGCCTCATCGACCATGAGGCACGAACAGAAGAATTAGAGCAGCAGTTGACTATTGAATTTGAGAAGACATTTCCTGAGAAATCACAGTGTGCTCAGCAACTTTAGAATCTTGCTGCTCTCACCTCTGAATTTCAAGCCTCCTTGTCAGCTGGTGGCTCAGGCTCTGCGCGAAGGCTGCACGGGGCCAGGTACTGTCCCACACATCTCGGCCTCAGGGACCCAGGCTCTCACTGTCTGTTGCTGAAGTAGGCAGGACGGTGACTCAGGTTGGCCCAGTGCTGAGAGAGACCCTGGGGTAGACCCACGCCAGCAGGGCCCAGGCCCAAGTGGCCAGGGACTGGTTGTTTCCCAAGGTCAGATCACAGACTCTGTGGGGCTAGGGGTTAAGGGTCCAGCTAGCCACTTCTAGCCCTGCCAGCAACTTGCTGGGGGACCCCGGCAAGACTCTGGCTTCTTCCAGCCTCAGTTTCCCACTCTGCAGCACGAATGGGGCCTACAGAGGCCCAAGAGGCTGTGGGCTCCCGTGACTTTGCCCAAACTGACTACACTCCCTAGACCTGGGTGTGGGGGTGGCAGGGGCCCTCACCTGGTACAGAGCCATGTTGGTGAGCTCCTGGGGGGCTGGGAGTCTCCTTGCTGACCCCTGAGCTGCGGACCTCAGGCTCCCACCATCTGCCACACTTCCTGATCCACTTGCACTGTCTGCGTGCAGCCTCTTGAGGGTGCAGGCACAGTCAAGAGTCTAGACTGGGCCTCAGTCCAGGGCTGCCCACCCAGCCCTGTGCCTGCCTCACCCACCCTTCTGCTCGGGCCCCGATGGATGAAGGTAAGCTCCTGGGCTGTCAGCAGGATCCGGTGGGGGCCCCGCACCAGCTGCAGCTGCTAGAGGCCCAGGCTGGAAGTGAAAGAAAGTGCAGGACAGAGGGGATGCACAAATATCACTGCCCCCAGCCCCGGCTGGCTCCTTGGGCCTGCCTCTGACCCAGAGCCCTCCCCAACCCTCTCCCTGTTTCCCTTCCTTTCCCCACATCAGTCCCAGCTGAGCTAAGAGGGCACCACTGAGCACTGTCCCCCCACAGCACCCCTTAGCCCGGCTCAGGGCTGGACCCTAGGCCTGATGCACCTGCTGGTCCCCAGCCTTGGTGTTTCCAACTCGCCTGGAGGCCTCATGGGGCAGCCAGAAGCTGGGGTGAGGGCTGGGAGTGGAGGGCTGCCTCTCCTGGATGTGGCTGAGGCTCAGGGAACACAGATGACTTCAGACCCAGGAAGAATTGTTTTCAAAGCTGAAGGGCCCTGGGAGTCAACGTGGTCAAGTCCTTACTGTTCAGATGTGTAACCCGAAACTCAGGGAGCATGGAGTCTTATCCAAAGTCCCAGGCTTCTTCCACAAGTCTCAAAAGGGCCTTCCCAGGAGGAATGCCAGCCTTGACAGGGCCTGACTGAGGCTCTAAGATGAACAGGAGTGCAGAGTGGTCCTGAGGTCTGAGATGGAGGATGGGAGGCTCCCTGCTGACAGCCAGGGCTGCATACACAGGAGAGGTTCTGTGGGATGGCGGCGGGGCGGGGGTGGGGGTGGTACCCAGAGGGGCAAAGCAAGACTCAAGTGCACAGAGAACTCACCTGACGAGGCAAGTGAGGGCCTCACCGGCCAACACCAGGACACCGGCCAGGGCCAGAGCGAGGAGGCTACCTGGGGGCTGGCCACCTGTAGGGGAAGCAGGGACAGACATGAGTCCTAACAGTAACGACCAAATAAGGAACTCAGCCCCTTCATTCAGCTCCTGTACCCTTTCCTGAGTCCTCTGGGATATGGGGACACAAACTACTGCTTAACCCCATTCCCAGGGGCAAGGCCCAGAATGGCCCTGGGCTGGGAAAGCCTTATCTACGGAAGGACCATCATGCACAGATGTTGACTTCCAGCACTGCTGTCGGGGTTCTCACCTCAGACTCCAGGCCTCCGGGCCCCTACATACCCTGCTCAGACCCCATTACAGTCCTGACCACACTCTGGCCCTTGTCTGCCAGCATGTCCAGCTCTTCCCTCTAGACTGAGAGCAGCTGGACAGCAGGGCCTGTGTCTTACATACCTCGGTGTCCCTGGCACCTAACACGGGCTGGACAGGCAAGATGCTGAATCAAAACTGTGGATCCCTGTCTATTGTTCTCCTGCTTCTTGCATACTCCCCACGACGGGCAACTCAGTATCTGTTTGGCAGTCAGTTTCAGTTTTATTCGCTTTGACTGTTAGAATAGCCTTCCTTACACTGAATGCAAATCTCTCCAGCCCTCATATCAGGATTGGGTATGAAAAAGCTGCTTAGGATCGCTGGGCAAGGTGGGGATGGCTACTTTGCTTGGGCAACCCCAGCATCAGCCTGGGCTGGCAAGGCGGCAAAATGCCAGGACCTATTCTGGAAAGAAGACTCTAACCTCCACTGCCACAGAAAGGGTCAGCGATGGGGGTGAGGGCATCCTTTCTTCCTTCCTCGTCTCCCTCCCTTCATTCCTCATCTCCCTCCCTTCCTTCCTTGTGCTGAAGGACAAGCACTGTCTGCCCGCTGATGAGCCTCCTCCAATCTTAAGTAAGTTTAGATAATAAAAATAGCAGCGAATGCCTTGTAGTACTTACTAGACTATTGTACATTGTATTGCACTATGCACCCATTCTAAGGATATCATGTATTCGATTCATTTATTCTGCACAACGACCTGTGGAAGCAGGTACAGTCAAGATGATGAATTCGTGGAAGAGGAAACAGAGATAGGCAACTGTCTGCGAGTGGCAGAGCCTCGGTTCAAACTCAGGTAGCCTTGCTGGCGCATCTGGACTCCTAACCACGGTCCATCCCCTCTCACCCAGGCTCCTGGGAAGGAAGCTTGACTCGTCATCTGGAGGAGGTGAGGGGAGAAGCACAGACAGGAAAGCAGTCCAGGCCGAGGAAGCAGCAAGCACAAAAGTTCTGAGGCAGAAGCATGGCAAATGTGTTCGATGGGAAGGCAGCGCTCAGCGCGGGAAAGGCTGAGGGCCGGGAGCTGAGGGGAACCGCGCGCTGTGAAGTCTCGCGAGAATTCTGGCTTGACCCCGGGCGGGTGAGGCGGGGCGTCTGCAGGCTCCTAGCAGAGGAATGCCAGATCTGACTGGCATTTTCCAAGGAGCCTCCAACCCACCACATTGAGGTCCAGGGAGAAGGGCAGAAACAGAGGGCCTGTTGGAATGCTGCTGCGGTCACTTGGCAAGAGACAACGGGGCCCTGGACCAGGGAGGAGGCAGGGGAGTGGTGAGTAAGGCTCTGCTTCTGGACAAATTCTAAAAATGGAGCCTCCAGGGTGCGCTGACAGGCTGCGCACGGGGTGTGAGGAGGCAAAGATGCTTGAGACTCAGAGAGGAAGGGGCTGCCGTTACCTGCAATGGGGAAGACGATGGGAGGAGGTGGGGGAGCAAATCAGGGGTTCAGTTTCAGACAACATCAAGTTTGAGATGCCACCTAGGCATCCAAGTGTCAATAAGAGGGGACGCTGAGGGCTGGTGGGAGCCTGAATAAAACACCATCCTTGCCCTCATAGAGCTGATGTTCTTGAAGACCAGCCCCAGGCCTCGTTCTCCACAGGCTTCTGTCTGGAGGCAGAGACAGTAACAGTGGAGACAATGCCACACAGTGTGGTCAAAGCCGGGAGGGAGCAGCCAGGGCCTAATGGAGCACAGAAGAGATCTTTACAAACCCCTCTTCCATCAGCCTTGTCTCGCAGACTTCACCCTCATTCTTTCATTCAATCAACAAACATTCCTGTGTGCTGAGCTCAGTACCGAGAATTGAAGATGCAACGGCAGATAAGATTCACAGTCACTGTCAGCACCATGATGGAGCCCACAGTGTACAGCGGGTGGGGGGTGAGGGCTGGTGCTCTAAGCCAGGGCAGGGATGATGATTCATTCACTCCTCAATCCTTGGAGCTAAGCACAGTGCCTGGTGCCTTGCAAGTTCTCAGTCAATATTTGTGAAGAAGAGTGGCAAAGAAACAGTTGAGTAAAGGCTTCTTCTTATGAGCTCCCATGAGTCTGGGGACAGATGGAACTAAAGCCATGCTCCCAGGGACTGTGGGCAGCACAGAGGCAGGGCCCCCAACCCTGGCTACAGAGTTTTTCTGTAGGAAAGAAAGGATTAGCCAAGCAAGGCTAAGGCACTCCAGGAAGAGTAAAACACACATGCCCAGGGAGGCCCAAAAGGGCGACACATGTCTGGGGAAAGGTGAAGAGGAACAGTGTCAGGACATGGGCCTGAAACAGCAGGCCGAGCCTAGGTCGGGCGATGGGGGCTGCTGAGGTTTGGGGCAGGCAGGGCCATACCTGAATTTACCCACCAACAGTGACTGTAACCAGGTGTGCATTAGGGAATGTGGGTGCACTTACTTATACGTGTGGGCCTGTGCTCATCTCTGTCTACGTATGTGCTTGTATGTGGGTGCAGTTTCATCAGGGATAAAAGTCTGAGATGGATGAATGTCAGAAATGAGGACATGTTGATCTTGTGTCTCACACTCCTCAGTGGCCTTGAGATAAAGGGAATCCTGCACTT